TACTGTTTAAACAAAAGATTTTTTGCAAAATGATATACACTATTAGATTCGTTGTTAAAAAACACTAATTTCATTGATGTACACAAAAACGGTATCTTCAATGATTTCCGAGATATTTAACAAAATATGTTTCGCACCTCCAACTTTGAGGGTAGTTTTCACTTCTTCAACATCGACTATTGCCGATTAAAAAAATACGGATCGAATATTTTTTTGAAAACTACATTCATGTCAAATTTCATCAAAATTTGTGATTCCGACTTCGGTATGTTCGTTTATAAGATAATTTGGCGTAAACTTTAATTAATTTAACTATAAGAATTGTAAAAAAATAAATAAATTTTAATCAAGCAATTGATTTAAATCAACCGCCACTCTCATAGTCTTTTACTTTGAGTAAATTTATCTAATACCAATTGCTATCATTTCTTTTTGTTATATCTTGAATTAGGGTCAGCAAAAATCAAAATTACCTCTATAATTTTGTAAGTCCTTGTCATTTTTTTAATAATAATAAATTTTTAATAACATTTTATATGTTACAGTGATAACATATATAAATGCATGCAAAATAAAAATTTCAGTCAACAATAGATTATTTTAGTTAAGCTGTTGAAGCATCAAAAATTATATGTGAATTTTTTACTACACAGAGTATCTAATATCCCTTGCTCCTACTTACCATCCTAGAATATTAACGAATTACTAAGATTTAGTACTTTTATATCTTCAGAAGCAAAATAAGTATAAAAGATGTCATATTGTCAAACCATTGTAACAAATAGAAGTGTCTCTCATAACACTACGAAGTGAATGTTTCTCTTCCTTTGTGTAAATACGCCTTCGAATAAGTATTAGATATAATGTGTATTTAGACATTAATTGTAAATTTACAAAAAGATAGCAGAATGATTCCTGAGTATAAAAGTCACCTACTTCTTTCTTTGCCAGTCTCAAAATTTTTCCTAAGAAAACCAAGGCAAATATAAAAAAAAAAGTGCAGATTTAAAAGATTGCACATAATACAAGGATACTATACTAATATTTACCATTAATAGTAAAAGATCATTAATAATAAAATATCTCATACTTTTAAACGTATTCAATGATTCCTTACTCATACATCGATTGTACATATGTATATTTGAAAATATTAACTTTTTCACCCTTTTTCTTGTACCGCAATTCCAGACGAGGGATTCGCAGATATCTTATTATTAATTTTACACAAAATTTATATATACAAGGTGATTCACATAACTTGCACACTGAAATAACGTAGTTACGTAAATCACCTTGTATATAATAATATAATTAATTATAAATAATTGAAATATGATATAATTATAATAGAATATAACATACGTGTTTCTATCAATTCTCGATTAAAAATATTGCAACATATTCATAACTTTGAAGCGCGAGTACGTGTTTTTGCTTACCTAAAATGGAGCTTTTTCGTAATAATCCTATAAACACTATCTCAATTTAACTCCACTGATTAACCAAAGAAATGAATTAAGTTTTAAATATGCTACCACTCTTTTTGTTTCCTTAAACAATCTTATTAACATAACATTTGCTTTAATGAATATATTAAATATCCTCTATTCTCTATTAAATCCTCTAAATTTTTCTGTGTAAAAGATATATTCTCAAATATATGTATAAATTGAGAATATCTAGAGAAATCTTTCAATATCGTCGACAAAAGAAAATACAATCTCAAATAGGTACAGAGCAATTTTTTTTGATTCTATAAGCAATTATCTTAATTATACTTAAATTTAATTTATCGATGGATCTGAATCAAAGAAAAAAAGGCTTTTGTGTAGCGATTACTGCAAATAAAAATCTCTAGTTTAACCTGCCAAAATATTTCATTTTCCAATCATATTTCATATTTAATTTTTTCCTTTGAAGTTTATGTAATAAAAAAATATTAAACCGATTAAATTGTATAAAAAGGAATTTAATTACTGATATACTGTTAACGGTTCAAAATATTAGTTCGAGAAATCCTATTACTAAATAAATAATCGAAAATATTGTAATATATAGTAATATACTAATCCAATGAAAATGTTGAAATTTTATTTGCTTGAATTCTATCACATGCAAACATGAGAAGCTGCAAAACCAGTCAGTACTTTATCAAGACTTAATCAGTCAAAATAAATGATCTTCTATTAAAAAGATAAAGTAAAGAAGAAATAGAAATAATATAGTAATTTAAAAAAAAAATCAATAATCTCGTCAATACGAAATCCGAAACATTAGTATTTTTGAGAAAAGTTTGGTCGCTAAACGAAAGAGATCAAGTTGTTTTAATTAGCATTGGGTACACATATACTTGTATCGTATTAACTTATTAACAGTGAATTTCTGTACATATGGTACTAATATTTTAATTAAACTTACCGAGTGAGTCTTCTAAGACTGAAAGTTCAAATATTTTCATAACAAGTTAAACTAAAAGATGTTTTAAAGAGGAACTTGTTTCACTTTAAGAGGAAAGTAATTATTCAGTTATTTGGGGGTTAATGTTTAGAAAATATATGAAAATCAATCCTATTTTTTTAAATCGAACCATACATTTTTTAATACACTGATCGATCCATTTCTACACTTTCTGTACAAGATATTAACTTACTAACTGATTTAGATCGCATAAGCAATAGTTTATGCAGATATTTTAATCTTAATTTCATGTGTAAGATAAGAAAAGACGTAAAACGACATAACGGACAAAGACAACATGAATATCTTGTCTTACATTTGATAGGTTACAAACCTATTAAAATTAAAATTAAAATATCTGCTAAACTAGTGATTTCTCAGTGTATACAGTGAATTAAAAAAATATTAGAACATCTAGTTTTTTAGAAATATCTACATACTAAAGCAGTGTTTCTTAAACTCTCAATTAATTTAAATAATCTTTATTACCACGATATTTAAGACGTTTCTCTCAAATACATAATAGTTTCAAAAATGATAAATTGAAATATATTTGAAATAACTATTAGTTCATTATTTTAAATTATACTCAAACCTATTTTCTCAGTCATTGATACTTAAGTATTAATACATATATCTCTTAACGTTTTTTAATATACACATGTTATAGAGTCTTTTCGAACAATTCTTTTAGCACACTTAATTATTTGATGGAAAGAAATGTATGAAACAAAAATGAAAAATACATCGTAATTTTATTTATTACGTACAAAAAAAGTGTTTAATATTTTGTGTGCATTTTGATAAGCTGACATAATAATCGATTTGACAGTCTAAAAAAATTCCGAAGAAATTTTTTTATCATTTTTCTAACAATACTATTTTTAAATCATTTCTATTAAAATCTTTCTATCCCAACTTTTAAATCTAACAAATACTACTGATATTCAATTGGATTTATGTTTAGTGGTGGCACGGGAAATTGTTTGAATGTATTGTGAAATAGTCACTCTCTTGTCTTTTTAGCTACATGTGTAAAATTATTGACGCATTAAAAGCGAATGAATGAATAAATGAATTATCTCGCAACATATCTATAAAACTCTAAACATTTTTTATCGATAATTGCACAATTTCCTACTCCATTGTATGATAAACATGATCCAAACCATACAAATCTTTTTGTCCAAGCTAAAAATATTCAATTTACTCTCAACAGGAAATAATGTAATTTATAATAAAAATATAATATGTGCAAAGACATTATAGGATGTGCCGATAATTTTTTGATTCACTATAGAGAATGGATTAAGGAATGTAGGAATGGAAATATTACATTTTATTTAAATATCTTTAAATTCTTACCTAAAATATTTTTGGATATAATTAATAGTTTTAATTAATATTTCAGTCTTAGATGATTCATACTCTATTGTATTGACTGTATTAAGTATTATATATTTTATATATTATATATAGTATTATATTATAACAATATAAAAAATATTTCTCAAATTTCCACATGTCTGAACAAAATAAACATACTGAACCGCTCTAATCTAATTCGCTGATTTTTATTATCAATATCGTTGATGCGAATATCATCATCATCATGATCTTGTGTTTGCTAATAATCCAGTAGAGATAATGCAATTTTAAATATAAAAATAAATTAATTAAAAAAAGAAGATATATTAATTAAATTTATGTGTACATTATTTTTTCATTTTTCTCAACTGTAATCTAATTAATAATACATCTTGCAATAATTTTTAAAATTAAAGACTAATAGCTGATTAGTCATTAATTAGTCGATTAATAGTTTAATAATTGATAATTAAAGTTAAAATAAATTATTTACAGGGTTCGTTTTTTAAGTATATAAAATTCACATAAAATTTGTATTCTTCCTTAGTAAAATTATCAGGTTTTACTTCTTTACCATTTACATCGTTTATCATTTCAATTTCTCCATTAGAACAAACAAAAAAGGTAAAATGAAGGCATTCAAATGAAATTATTTAAATACATCCCTTTATTTTTAAACAACAGTAATCTTTTTTTTTTATTACCTAAATTTATTACTTACTGCTCTACATAATAATTACATACAAAAATATGAAATTAAATCTTTGCTATATATATTATACAGTAACAGATAGAAGAAAATTTAAACACAATTTAAAATTTTATAAAATAAATTATATATATATATATATATACACAAGATGAGTCACCACATATTGCCATCTAGATTTACGTCATTATTAGTACGCGTAGCGAAAAATGTTTCAGATGAAGTTGAATGGTTTGGAGAGGGGCACATTTTGTTGATACTAGTTTTCTTGTAGGTGGACGTGTAAAGGACATATGAAGGTCATTAACTTTTTTTTAAATGGAATCATATATTTTTTATTGCATCAGTCGATGCACCTTGATATTCTTGACAAAAAAGTATTAATTAAAACTATTTGTGTTAAAAAATCATTAGTTTAAGAGATATTTTAATTTTAACGTTGTTAGGAAATCATGATCCCTTTGTTAATGTTGTAATGATTTTATTTACAGAAAAGTTCCAATGTGACGACCATTTACATCACGACATTTTCTGAATCGATAGATTAATAATTCACTCACAATGTGTAATGTATTTGGTGTTATTTTATTACACTCAGTGATGATACGCCTTATTTTTCAAGTAGCCCCACAAGGAAAAGTCGAGGGGCGTTAAATCAGGTGATCTTGCTGAGAAAATGAATGGGGCCACCTAGTCCTATCGATTTGGGAAGATTCTATTTAATACATCCTTTGCGATTCTTGCATAATAGGCAGAACAACCATCCTGTTGGATCCATATTATTTGTCGTGCATGCAATGGTAAATCATGTAAAAATGTCCATAGAGTATTTGTTAAAAAATGTGCATATTTTGGTCCGATCAGTGATCCCTTGATAAAGTATGGTCCAATAAAACGATTGCCGAGTATGCCGATCCATATATTTACACTCCATCGATGTTGATTATCGATTTGTCTAAACCAATGAAAATTTTCCGTTGACCAATAATACATATTTCTTGAATTCATAGATCCATTCTTCGTAAAAGTTTCTTCGCCGGTAAACATGACATTATTAAAAAAGTAATCTCTTTGAGATAAAGCCCAGTCACAAAATTCTAATCGTTGATAATAATCATTTTCAGTCAATTTTTGAACTTTTGATAAATGATATGAGTGATATTTGTGCCTTTCGAGTATGCGTAAAATACTTTTGCGGCTAATTCCAAATTGTTTTTCGATTTCGCGAGAGCTTATGGATGGTTTTGATATAATTGTGGCTAATGCAATTTCATTTGCTTCATTCGTCACTGTTTTATTACGAATTGCCTTTGTGTATGATAAATTTCTCGTCTGGTGAAATTTTTTAAAAACATTATCAAAAGTATGACGTGATGGATGATTTCTTTGAGGAAATCTATTGGCGTATAATCTGCATGTGTAGCACTTTTCCCAGCTTCAAAATCTATCTTTTTTTCGTTAGAATACTTTATTATAAAGTGATAATTCATCGTACCAAGATAAATATCTAAAAGAGACTAAATTCTACATGAGAACAGTAGTTGTACTATTCCCAAATGTATATATTTCATAAGACTGTTGACTAGAACCGTAAATAAAGCTAACATTAAATAGGAAAGCAAGAATTATCGATCAATGCCGTGTAATGTAAACATTGATAATTCATGATAGTGACGAGAGAGTCACGATTTTCTAACAATATTAAAATTAAAATATCTCCTAAACTAATGATTTTTTAACATAGATAGGTTAATACTTTTTTGTAAAGAGTATCAAGGTGCATCAATTGATGCAATAAAAAATATATGATTCCATTTAAAAAAACGTTAGTGACCTTCATATGTCCTCTACACGTCCACCTACAAGAAAACTAGTATCATCAAAATGTGCCCCTCTCGAAACCCATTAACTTCATCTAAAATACTTTTCGCTACGCGAATATAATAAATGACGTAAATCTGGCAATATGTGGTAACCCACCCTGTATACTATATATATATATATAAAACTCTAAATATTATATTATTTAAATTAATATTTAAGGATCTTTTAAATCTAATTATAGTTTCTAATTCCAATTAGGTATTGATATTACTATTTTTTTCTGTAATTATTTTCTATAATAGTTTTCTATAATGAGTTGGAACTTGTTCCTATTCCAAAAAATGCTGTTTTAACTTTTGAAAATTTTTAGAAAATGATTCTTAATCATTCTGTAATTTCCATTCATAAATATATATAATGAATTTTCAATATGATATACTAAATCTGAATAATATTACAGATCACATTTTGACAATTAGTGATATGTTTTGAATCATTATTTTAATAGAATACATATTTTTATTTATTTCAATAATTATTTAGCAACATAATAATTGTTATTTTATCATATTTAAAGGAAATCTATAATACCATCTGAATGGACGCATTGTTGTTAATTATGGGTATATAAATTAACATGTTCCTAATAAAACTTTTCTGTCAAGTAGTAAGTAATAGTGAGAAAAATAGAATACAAAGTTTTAACGTTTTTTATACATGGTTTCCACATACCTTTTAAAATTTTCCATATAGTTTCGCGTAACAAAACTATATACTTTCAATTCTTAACTATTTTACTATTTATATGAAATTTTTGAAACAGGTTCAATAATTCAGAATTCATATTACATCAGAATACATGAAAGCTAAATAAATGAATACATGAAAGCTATAATATTTTGTGGATTTTATAGATTTATCTTCATTCGATGTAGCTACGAAATTTTGTTGTATACAAATCCACTAAATACTATATGTCAAAAATCTTACCAAATTGTATGTAATGTATCTTATATCTTTGTGCAAATATGAAGGCCAGAAATAACCGTGGCATATTTTAACAATATTTCGGAATGAATTTCTTTCCACGCTTCTTCTAATTTCTTCCATAAGTCTTTCTTTTCATTTTCACATTTCTGAAGGCTTCTGTCCAATTCATCCCAAAATACATCGACTCGATTTTTTAAATATATATACATATTTTTGATATACTTTGAAATATTTATTCAGAAAAAATTCAAATCGATAAAGGCAAAATTCAAATCGATACTTTTGTTCTTAACGTACTCAGATTGTTCGATAGATTAAAATCAAATTTAGCTTCGAAATGGAATTTTTCAAAAATATTCAAAAAATGCATTTTAATAGTAGTATCATAATTATTGCAATAATGAGGTTTTGCAAATTGTTTTACTACATTCATGTATCAGATTTTCAGAAAAGAACACGCGTGCACGTTCTTGAAGTATATACATTAAAAGTGTGTACTTAGTCACTGAGATATCACTGTTAATTTTTGAGATTAAGATTTTACATCTATATATATATTTAAGAATTTATACGTACAAAAATTTATTTTCAAGCAATTTTAAACACATTACGAAGTATAAAAATTATATATAGTAATTACTTAAAATAGGGTTGATTTCACCGATTTCACTAATATTAGAATATGTTATCAAGGTCATAATTCTGAACAACTTTTCCCTGTACATGGATGGTACCGTATTTAGAATGATAATCTTGTCAATATTTCAGATGATAATAATTTCAAAATGGTTAAAACCGGCAAGGATTTTCTAGGTAATTACCTATCCTTTATTACTTATTTTTTATATCCTTTATTCCAAGGATTCTTGACAAGTCGAAAGTAAGCTAAATTGAGATCTAAAATTTTGTGAAAAAATTTGGAAATAAATATAAGGCAATTATCGGACCTATTTAAAAGAATATAATCCCTATAAGACAACCTATAAAATACAATATCGTAAATATTTTTATATATCCGTACCTACTGATGTCAGTTACCGTACAAACCGTACAATGCAAAGCCAGTTTAAAAAATCTAATAATACGTCATTTTAAAAAATAATTACCTCTTTTTAAACCATCACTCTGAAATAATCCACAAAAATAAATTATTCCTAAGAAATAAATTATCTATGGGATCCAAGAAAAAAAATATTTTGCAAATATACGTTACGAATTCAAAGATCATTCAAAATCGGTGATATTTTGATAAATATCTTGAAAACTCGGTAACATGTATAATTGTTCAAAATGATGATAGTAACAACATATTTTATGATCATTGAAATTAGTAAAGTCGCGCCTATTATAAATAATTACCGAAAATATTCTCAATATTTATTATTATTATTACTTATTATTATTATTATCCTTAATTATTGTTGTTGTTGTTGTTACTACTGTTATCATAATTGTTATAGCAACACAATCATTAGAATCAAAATATTTTAAAAACAATTACTTACTTCCGTAACATCCATAACTTTGATGGCTGCCAATTGACCAGTTTTGGTATGTCGACCCTATAAAGTAAAAGATCAAATTATCATTATTAGAAACATATGACATTAATATTAATACTAAACCTACTACAACCAGTCAAATAATCGTTTTTAAACTTTCGTTCAAAATTTTATATATACAATGTATTATAATGTTATTACATCGTGGTTTAAGTTCAGGACTTTTTTTATAACATAATATTTTTATAATATATATAATATAAATTTTTCAATATTCGTTTCCCCTTTTTTCTGCGAAATATATGTAACTCGTATTGTTTACCACGACCGGTCATTTAATCGGTTGAAAAATTTAAATTCTTTTGTAATGTTATTTTCTCGGAAGATTCAAATCTAAATGTACATAATAGCTATAAATATAAGGCAATCTCTAAATGAAACATAATTTCGACTGAAAGCGAAGCTGACGCGCAGCCTTTGATGCATAACCTGAAGAAATCGTAATGAAATAACGATGAATAATAAATGGCAAAAGTGTTTATTGTACCTATAAATGTAGAATCGAAATTAGAAGAAACAGTACAACTAATTCTAAAACAGAGGATATAACAATGATTTACACAGAATATGCCAAATAAGTCAGATAAATTTGACATTAAATTCTAATTAGCTAATTCTATTTAACTGTCGTAAAAAATACATTTTGAACAAGTTTTTATATTTAAGAGAAGATGAAAAAAGAGAATCTTTAATTCCTCTTAGGGAATTTGTCGCTCTCAAATTAATAGAACCATTCGCAGGCCGTGGGAAAAATATAATGACAAATAATTTTTTTACAAGCGTATCATTAGCCACAAAATTATTAGTGGTTGAAACTACTCGTTCTAATAAAAGGGAATTGCCAAAATTTGCTAAATAAATAAAAGATAACATAACATGTTCTATAACAAAACTATATAAGATTGATACAGTATACTTTTACAGTATATAAAAGTAAACCGAAGAAAAAAATGTTTGTTTTGAGTTCAATGCATGAATTTATAACAATTGAAAAGAATGATTTGCATATGTATACCAGAAACAATTGGGTTTTATAATAGTACCAGATTCGGTGTAGATGTGAGTGATCAAATGGCTATATAGTGTAAAATCAAAATCTTGGAAATAGTCTCTGCAAATCTTCTTCAATATTCTTAATTTAGCGTAGATTTTGTATAAAAAAAAGACTGAAGAAACAATTTTGGAGGCAAGAATTTTTACGTCAATTAGCAGAAGACTTTACCTCTGAATTTCAAGGATCATAAGAAATAAACCAAAAAGAAATACAAAATAAAACGACAAATATAAATAGAGTTTCATATTTTAACGTAACATTTTATCTTAACTAATTCATATTCAAGTTATGGTTCAAAGAACATAGGTATTTTATGTAGAAAACAAAATATCGTGTTTAATTATAAAACAAAATATCGTGTTTAATTAGACCATCAGAATCACACAGATTTAACTGAACATTCTTTTTTTACGTTAAATCAAGTATCATTGTTTATTATTACTTATAATTTGTTAATTTAATACATTTTTTGTTAATTTAATACACGTTGCTCAACTGATTAAAAAATCATTTAACTGATAATTAAAAAATTATTTATTTTGCTAATTACTTTTAACACTTGTAATATAATATATTTGATGAATATGTATATAACAAATTCATTAAACAATATTTGTAAAGAGAAACAAATTTTCTAAAGAGAAAATATTAGCAAGAGCAAATACATATATACAGAAAAAAATTACATTATAATACTATTTTATTTAACTAATAAAAAAAAATATTTTAGATACTATAAGTGAAACTTTCTAAATAAATTCATTAAAATACTTTAAACTGTCTAGTTAAACACATATTGCCATATACAACCAAAATATTTAAGAAAATTAGGAAACTTTGTTAGGAATTATGAATATTTGTACATTTATAAAAAATTCACAAAATAGAAAATAAGCAACTAAACAAAAAAAATTTTATAAAGTATTCAAAATATCCAAAATACAGTAATTACTACAAAATTTAATAAATAAAACAAATTTCAGCTCAGGTTCTTTAATTTTATACGTCAAGATATGAGTTTGTATAAATATCCACATCTAAATTTTTAATTGTTTTAGTATCTAATGGAAAGGAAAAAACTCGAGGAAAAGGAACATCGTCATAGAAGGATTGCCAATGGACGATACCTTCTCACACGTTCTACTAACATAGAAAATATTCACCATATGTTCTAACTGGGTCAGTGGTAAATTTAAATAACACACATACATGTATGGCTTTACTTTATTTAATAGTAGGTACATATATCAAGACTGGATTAGTTATTTATGTGCACATATATTCAAGCTATTTAATATAAATTTTATACATGTTTTTATATGTGTAACTTTTTGTAGAATTGTCACTTTTTCTAAAAATTATTTTTAAAATTAAATTATTTTTAATTAATTATTAAGTTAGATAAATTAGTTAAATTTTTTATCTTGATACAAAATCTTGTGTAGCTACAGTGATAGATATCATACAACAAATTTATAAATCTAAAATATGAAGTTTGAATACTTCATATTAAAAAGTTTGCTTTCATAATATAAATGTTAAAAATGAATTAAACTATCGGACTACGAATTAAATTAATCGGACTACGGATATTTTATGTTAAATAAAAATACGTAAAAAATAAATATACATATAGATATAAATTTTACATATATTTTCATATCATTCTTATATAATATTTAAAAATTTTAAAAAAGAGTTGCAAAAAATATATAACAAATCTTATATTAGAACTATTATTTTTGCAAAGGAATATATCATTAAATAATATGATACACAATTAGGATTTTAAAACAATAAATTTATAATAAATAAAAAATGGAAACATTGCTGATCTACCAAATTATTTTTTGAGATTATTTTTAAATAGAGCGTTAGAACTAATTCTTATTCAGCATCTTTAACAATGCTTTTCATATTTTCTATGTCCATCATTCTTTAAGAATTAGCGGCACATAACTAGTTCCATTGAAAAGTCTGAAAAAATGCACATTTCACTTTTCCTTTTAAAGCGCATTCAAGGCGCATGAAAAGATAGGAATGCGTTTTGACTGAAATTTTCTCGCATTCGTTGTAAATAAATCAAATCCATTCAAACAAGCAGAATTATTTCAATTGTTAAAAAAAAATCACTCCGATCACCATGTAAGAATCATTTCAATCGTCGGGAGAATCAGACCAATCAACAATCGAATTACATCATAGAATTGTATTCTCATTCTCATTCATTAAATATTACATGGAATTAAAAATTATTATAAATCAAAAAATACGACAAGAAACAAATGAAGCAAATTCTGTGATCATATTCAAATTGACAGCATGTGAAATTGTATTTATCGCATTGTTTGAAATTCAAAGCCAATTTGTACTTCGTCGCATCGATCACACAATATTTGTAACAGAATTATTAATAAACGATCTATTTTATAGAATAAAGGGGCCAAAAATTTTAAAAATCGTTTAATTCGTTAGAAAGAGGAGAAAGTGACAAGAACAGTAAAGAAAAACAGTAAGTTGCTTGAATTTATTTTTTTTTATTAAGAATTTGAGTAATAGGAAAACTTTTTTTTCCTTCGTAATAGTAAAACTATTTCTTTCTTCAAAGTTATTATTGATCTATTAATCTCGAATTTAATGATTAATAATTGATTTAATTCTAAATAATTATTTCTTACATCATTATCATTCAAAGTATTGTTTTCTAAATCAATAATAATATTGTATAAAAGGTTTAACAATATATATCGTATTATCCACATTTGTTTTGATGTCTTATATCAAATTTATATTATATCTTTCGATCGAAATATTGTGATTTCTAATATTCTTTCCAATTCATACCCTAAATTTTCAATTGGACTTAGGTCCGGGCTTTGAAGAGGTGTCTTTAATGATACATTATACTTTGGTTATATTTTGATTATACTTTGTACTTTGTACTTTATATTTTGTATGTCATATTCAGTTGGAGCGCTGGCTTGTTGAAAATAAAAATCAGACGTTAAAATTAATTTTTCCATCATTCTTTTAAAATATTTAAATAAGTATCAACATTGATTATTCCATCAAAAAATACCAATTCTCCTACCTCAGATACAGACATCCACATACCTACTCCACCACTTCCATATTTCACTATAGGTTATTTTTCACGTTCATTTCAGTATTTCATTTCCTTCACGCTATTTAATTTAAATATATACAAAAAAAACTTTCGTCTGAATAAAATTTTCTTCCAAAATTCAATAACTCTGCTGCGAATTCTATTCTTTCACGAATTTGTTTCGTGTTTTTTTATTCTTTTTGGTGATATACAATTTTCGTCGGACGACGCACGAAAAATATCCAACATTTTTCAGTTTTAGGACGAACCTTTTTGCTAAAAACATTGTTATATCAGAAGATGTGACTTTTGGGTTTTTCTTTACTATATTAATTATTTTTCATTTCTCTCTCATGGATAACATTTGATCAAACACTTCTAAAACGATTTTTATTATTTGACTCAAAAATCTCTTAGAAACAGCTTTTCTGAATAATCTTTCTGATTTCTCTAATATCTATATTCCTTAAAAAGATTTAATATACAGTGAGCATATAATGATGAAATATTTTCGATACTTTAAATTGTCATATCTTCGTAAAAGAAAATCATATCACAATCTAATTGATTTCATTTTAAAGCATAAGACTTTTACCTTTTGAAAAAAACTGTCCTAAGTTCGCTTTTTTTAAGACGTCTTATAGCTACATGTAGCGGGTGAAAAAATAAGAATATTTTATTCTCGAAATTTGTAAAAATTCATCACTGTAATTTTACTTTCTGCAATTTTTTCTCCTTTCCTTCCCATGTTTAACGTTTATTGACACTGTTCCATCAATACAAGCTCTGGCACGATATCAACTATGAATTGACTACTAGAATGATCTCTATTAATTCTCT